TTAACTACAACATGAGTCACATGAATTCATGTGTGAATAATGACTACCTCATTACTTGTTAATTCATGTTTGTTATTTAATTTTTTAGCTCATCTTATTATTTTAGCTATATGCAACCAACATGAACTCATGACTTGTTAATGTATTTTAATGTCATCACTTTACTAGGACGGGCACATTTTTATTTACTCATTTTTAAATAGTGAACTCATGGTTAAACTGTTCATTTTCAATGTAAACACAGTATGACCGTTATGATGGTAACACTTTACAATAAGGTTAATTAGTTAATGCATTTACTAACATGAACTTATCATGAACAACACTTGTACAGCATTTATTAATCATAATTGAACATTTACTAATGCATTATTAACATTCAAGTTCATGCTTGTTAACATTAGTTAATGCACCATGAGTAAACATGAACTAACAATGAACTACTGTATTTTCATGAACAAACATGAATAAATACTGTAGTGAATGTATTGTTCATTGTTTGTTCATGTTAGTAAATGCATTAATTAACATTAACTAATAAACCTTATTGTAAAGTGTGACCGTTACATTTAAACACAGAAATGACTTATGTGGTAGTAAAGTTAGCTTGTGATTTTCACATTCATTTACTCATCAATACTTCATAATAAACTATTTAAATAAATTTAAATAACATATCTTTCATTCATTAACTTTCTTTTCGGCTTAGTCCCTTTATTAATCAGGGGTCGCTACAGCGGAATGAACTGCCAACTCATCCAGCATATGTTTTACGCAGCGGATGCTCTTCCAGCTGCAACCCATCACTGGGAAAATTAACATATACATCATTATTAATGTTCTGTTATTGTAAAATACCACTATATAACAGCGTGTAAGTTCAACTCTGCAGATTTCAACCGGCTAAATTACAGAAATTTGTGACGAATTTAACTTTTCACATGCTTCAAACAGCATTATCAACACAAATAAATGAGTTTACTAGTGTACGTAAAATAAATGATATATAATAATAAGGAAGAATATAATGCATGTAAACAAATGGTAAAATGCTGTAAACATATATATTGTTTTGTCTCTTTGTAAGGAGAATGTAAAATGCAAAGAAAAAAAAAACAATCCGATATAGATCTGACAATAAAGTTTGTATAAATATATTGTACTAAACCTAAAAATAAAATAATAAAACTTACCAGCCAGACTCCATGAGCACAAACAGAAGATCATAAACAAGTCCAACATTTTCTTGAGGATTACACTGAACGGTTTCAAAGAACTTTAGTTCTTAATTGTAAAAGGGCCACACATAAAATAAATATAGCAAAAATACACTCAACCTTTTTGAAAGAACTAACAAAAGAGTCTGAGAGCTGTTAGTCTGCAGGCGCTTTAGTGAAGCTCTGCAGTCAGTGACAATATACTTCTCTAGAGGGCGTCACCCTTCAGAGACTGTATGATTTTATAAAAATAGACAGCTTTGTCTACTTTCTAGTAAAGAGAAAGATAATGGGCAGTATTTAAATAATAAAGATTTATATTAAAAAGTCAATAAATGTCAGATTTGATATGATATCTCTCAGTATACACACAGGCAGTGTGTTAAATTGCACTCTACAAAGTGTCTTCTCAGCCGTGCAGTGGCAGCTGTATGAGACGGGTTCATCCGCATGTCTAGCAGGTATATAAGGTTTCCCTACCATACAGTTGACCATCCAAACATTAAAGCACAATTTGCAGCGGTCGCCGGGTTTTCCCAATGTAATTGGAGTAATCTACTGCACACGCATTGCTATAAAGGCACCATCTGAGGATGAACTGGCATACGTGAATCCATTCAATAAATGTGCAAATTAAATTTGATGCACAGACTTATTAATGATTCCTACTTGTCTTTCTCATGATAAAGAGTATATAGGCAAAATCTTATATGTAGCGGGGATAATAAAGAGTAAGAGTAAGTAATAATACTCTTTAATAAATAAAGAGTAAGTTCATCAGACGCTGGATTCGAGTTCATGCTTGAACGTGTCAAAACATGTTGCCATGGGTTTAACGAGCTGCACCACTTAAAATATTCACGGCACTGCAAAATTTTACACCTACAGATCTCACTATTTCTTTTTTGATCCACTCAGTGCGATGTTCAGACCCAACTGTGTTTACCGCATCAGCTAAACTCTTCCCACTATAAAAAAAAAACCCTCTCCCCACTCTATTTTTTCTTTTGTTATTAATTCCAGAGGACAAACTGGCATATAAAAAGCATATAAGAAGTTTTTCTACCTCTGAAAGCAGCACTTTCAATTTACATTCTGTTCAAAGTTTCTCTTTTTGCTTGCTTTTTGCCATTGCTTTTTTGTTTGGTTTTGCCAAAGAAGAGTTATTAGCATATTCATACAGGGGTGGAGGCAGGGAGGGGTTTTGCACTCGTGCATGTTGCGCTCAGTTTCACGTTCATTCAGATGTACAAAAGAATAAGCGTGAGATTTGGCGTACGCAGTATTTCATACATCTGAATTTTTTTTTGCATATGCACATTTACAGCTTTGTGCGTACGCAATGTTTTAGTATGATATCCACGCAAGTCTTCGTACATGAGGCCCCAGGTGTGTGGTGTTGTCACCGACTCGGTCCCAGTCACTCCCCTCGCTGGCCAGCAGAGGCCACCATCTCCGGACTTCTAAGCATTACATAATCCACTTACACTGATCCAGCACACCTGAACTGAATCCCGCTAATGATACACGTACCCTTTATAAGCCGCACTCAAACACTCAGTCTTTGCGAAGTCTTGTTCAGCCCCGGCCAGCATTACTGAGCGTTATATCCTGCCTGATCTTTTGTGTATTACTCCAGCCCGTTTCTGACTCTGCTTTGACTTCTGCCTGCCCACGACTCAAGCCTGTTACAAGGACTCTGATACTCGCTGCCTGCCCTCGACCCAAGCCTGATACACAGACTCTGAATCACGCCGCCTGCCACTGACCCATGCCTGGGAAATTACTCTGTGTCTGTCAGCCGCCAGCCCTAAGACCTTTACTACTGTTGTTGTTGCATGTTCGCACCTTTGTGCGTGTTGATTGTATGAGTGAAAGTGTGACTAATAAATACTGCATTATGGATCCCTCCGTGTCAGTCTCCCTGTTACAGGTGTGCAGTCTAAAAAATTTATTAATTTTTCATTTTTATAATCACACTTGGAACAGTCTACAGAAACATTTTGATTGATATTCTCCCTTTGTATATGTCATCAGAGGGGGAAAAAGCCCCACCCATTAGTGAGGATCTGTCCCCTCATTTGTCACGGTTTATCATAAGTGTGGTCTGGTCTGTCCCACTTTTGTCTTCGTGTTGTTATGTGTCAGAGCAAGTGAGCTTTGTTTTGATAGCTCACCATTTGCTCCTTTGTCATTTGTTTTCCCCACCCTCTTGTTCATCTATTACTGCTAGTTTCACACCTGGGGTCCCTTCTTCGTACCTTGCTTAAATGATCTAAGATGATTTGGCAGATCCTGGATCATTTAATCTTGATAACTGATCTCTCGCTGATTTGGTTCTTCAAACAAGTTTGCGAATCAGATAAAAATGTCTGGATAAACTGATCTGAGATCGCTGAGTGTGTTGTGAAGGACTGATCTATTGATCCGTGAAATCATGATCAGCAATAAAACGATTGGCTGATGGCACAGCAGCATATTGACATCATCTGATTAATATTCAATTATCCATGTGAGCAGTAAACGGTTTGTTAAATATTATACGCAATAACTTTACACCTTGTTGTGGGCTGCAGGCTCGGCCCTTTCATGTGTCAGGCGCCATTGACACAATGGCTCTTCCATATGATCAGACTCGGCTATACGATACAGCTCGTGAAACGGCTTTCCAAGTTCACGGGCATGTATTTCACCAGGCTCAGTCCTGCGTCCACCCCTGTCTTGCGAGCGGAGGTTGCTGTCCTTCTGGCGAAGGATGCAATCGAGCCAGCCCCTCCAGCCGAGATTGAGGACGGGTTTTACAGTCCGTACTTAATCATGCTCAAAAAGAGCGATGAGTTATGGCCATATCCTAGATCTGCGCATTTTGAACCGCTGCTGTCACAGGCTGCGCTTCCAAATGCTTACGCAGAAGCGCATCAACTGATGCATTCGTCCTCGGGATTGGTTTGCAGCAATAGATCTGAAGGACATGTATCTGCATGTCTCCATACTTCCACGTTACCGGAAGTTTCTGTGGTCTGCGTTCGAAGATCGAGCATGACAGTACAAGGTCCTCCCCTTCAGGCTCTCTTTGTCTCTGCGGGGTTTCACCAACGCGGAGGACGCACACGCCCCTTCGGCCCGCGGGCATCCGCATGATCAGTTCTCTCGACATTTGGCTGATTTTAGCCCACTCTCGGGGACAATTGACTATGCACATGTTGGAATTTCTAGCCAATTCCATGCATGTTCAAGAGAAAAGGTCAGGAGAGGGTTTTCTTCAATGTCAAAAATCGTAACAATTTATTGGATACAAATGAATAATTCGATGACAGAGCTCTGGGTTACGTTTCCCCAATGCAATACAAGAATTACATTCAAGAGGTTAACAACTAACATACATTTCCTGACTCCACCATATATACACAACTGATCTTAACAGGTGGAGTTTTGGTTTAACGTCACTTGTCAGTCATTGTTCAGTCCTCCATTGGCCGCACCTTCGACATTCTTCCTCTTTCTGCAACCCTTCTCTGCATACCAGAACTGAACAATTACGTGCATCTTTAATATATTTCACACTTCTACAAGCATCATGACAACTTGTGACATGTCTAGACAGCAGTCGGAACAAACCTAAATTTATTCTTATTCTGCTTTTTCCACTAGTCAGCAGTTCTTCTAATAAGTATTCAGCACAGTAAAAAAGAGGAAGTGTGTCTGGTCAAGATGTTTTATAATGCAAAAGAGAAAGATTGATTAATCTGTTGTTAGTCTAAACATTTTTCTAATAAAAAAATAATAAAAGTAATAAAAATAAATTCCTTTTCTCCAACACACAGAGACAAAGTTCTCCGGCACCTCCACCTGTTGGGGTTTCAGATCAACCGAGAAAAGAGCTGGCTCGCCCCCATGCAGAGCCCCTCCTTTCTCGGGTTGGAGCTGGACTCGATCACCATGTAAGCGTGCCTCTCACGAGAGCGCGCCAAGCCAGTGCTGAACTGTCTGAGAGAGTTCGACAGAAAAAAATGTGGTCCCCCTGAAATCTTTTCAGAGGCTCCTGGAGCATATGGCATCCGTAGCCGTGACCTCGCCACTCGGGTTGCTCCATATGAGACCACTATGGCATTGGCTTCACAATCGGGTCCCCAGACGCGCATGGCACGCGGGCACACACCGAGTGACTTCCACTCCACTGTGTTTCCGCGCCCCCTCCCCCTGGAGGGACCCCTCTTTCCTATGGGCCTGAGTGCCCCTGGGTTAGGCATCCAGGCATGTTGTCAGTCGACAGATGCTTCCAGTACGGGTTGGGGGGCTGTGTGTTGCGGGCATGCTGCTTCGGACTTGTCGAAGGGAACCTAACTGCATTGGCATATCAACTGCCTAGAGCTGTTTTCAGTGTTTCTCACTCTATGCCGCTTTTTTCCGGCGCTGAAGGGGCAACACGTGCTGGTCAGGACGGACAGCACGGCAACGGTAGCGTATATCAACCGTATGGGAGGTATTCGCTCCCGCCGCATGTCGCAGCTCGCTCGCCGTCTGCTCCTCCGAAGTCATCCTTGGCTGAAGTCGATGAGTGCTGTTCACATGCCGGGCGAGCTCAACCGTCCGACTGACGCGCTCTCACAGCAGCTCCTTGCCCCGGGAGAATGGCGACTCTACCCTGAGCCTGTTCAGCTGGCATGGGCTCTGCCCCACAGCTGGCCTCGGGGCATGCGCAAACTTGCGTTTTCCCCAGTGAGCCTGCTCGCGCAGTTACTGTGCAATCCCAGGGAGGACGAGGAGCAGGTCTTGTTAGTTGCGGCTCTATGGCCCAACTGGACCTGGTTTTAGAGCTCTCCCTCCTCGCGACACCGCCCCCTGGGGGGTCCTTTTGAGAGAGCACCTACTCCCTCAGGGACAGGGCACCATCGAGCATCGCCATCTCCCAGATCTGTGGAACCAGATCATGATGCGGTAAACAGCGGCACCGTGGGGAGGCATAACCTCATCATCCGGGTCCTCTGAGGTGCGAGGCGTATGGTTCCAACCCGCCCCCTCTCATGCCCTTTTGGGACCTCGAGGTAGTGCTACGAGCCTACGTGAGGAGCCCTTTGAGCCACTGGATTCAGTATCCTTGAGATTTCTGTCCTTGAAGACAGCTCTGCTGGTCGCGTTGGCATCGGTTAAGAGGGTCAGGGACCTGGAGGCATTTTCGGTCAGTGACTCCTGCCTACAATTTGGGCCGGCCTTCTCTCACGTTGTCCTGAGACTCCGGCCCGGCTATGTGCCCAAGGTTCTTACCATGCCATTTAAGGATCAGGTAGTGAGCCGTGTCCCCAAGGCATCCTCTTGGGTGTTAGTACGCGGCGCCTCTCTGACAGACATTTGCAGAGCTGCGGCAACACCTAATACATTTGCTAGGTTGTACAATCTGCGAGTGGAGCCGGTTTCCTCATGGGTATTAGGTAACCCTTGGTGATTGAGGAAACAATTCGGTTGGGGTGTTGAAACACGCTTGCTGCGCCATTCTCCCTAACACGGAGGTACGATCGCCTTTTCAGCTTTGTCAGTTCAGTTCCCCATTCGGTGAACCCTACAGTGTTCCTCCGAGGCCCCCAGCATCTGACTCCGCAGCCCGTTATGTTGTTGGCATGCCCACTGGTCAGCCTGCGTTCTGGGCATAGGTGCCTGCTATATGTGATTCCCTGCGGGCGATCCCATAAGCTCACTAAACCACGGTTTAGTCCCCCCTGTGTTAAGGAGGGCTCGTGTCTTCCCTCCCCGCTAACCATCCTCTCTATGTAATCTCTATGTAAATGAATGAGTATATTTATCTGATTAGAATTATAATACTGTAGGCTTAATGAAAACATAAATGCAAACAATGAAGAATAGTGCTGGTGGATAAATGATACTATTCTGTACACAGAACTAAGCCTAATAATCAAAATAATAAAACTTACCAGTCAGAGTCCATGAGCACAAATAGAAGATAATAAACATGTCCAACATATTCTTGAGGATTTCACTGAACAGTTAATTGTATAAATGTCTTCCTAGGAACTAACTGAAAAACTTGCGAGCTGCTAGTCTGCAGGTGGTTTATTGAAGCTCTGAAGTCAGTGACAGTAAACCCCTCTAGTGGGCGTCACACTTTAGAGACTGACACCTTATACTTATGACCTACATCTTTAAACCCCTGGCTACAAGAAAAATAAATATTTTATACTTATCTTTTCTTCCTAATTTCCCGAATTGCTTGAAAGACAATGTTCATACTGAATCATTGTTTTGGAGAAAAAATTATTTTATTTTAAAGATATCATGTGTCCATTACAATGGATATCAGAATGCAGTATGTGTGAAATGGAACCAATAAGATACTTAAAATTATTATAATGCCAAAGAAAATACTCAAAGTCAACTCTGGAATTATGACTGACGCTATATTATTTTTAGTGTAGTGTATGCATCATGGGAATTTAGCATTTTTTGAACTATTTTAGACCCTATTTCTTATGGTATTTTAAAAAAAGCAATTCCCTATGTTTGAAAAGCAAAAAGATATCTTGCATTTAGTACACCTTTAGGAGCAATTTGAATTCATTCATTCATTTTCTTTTTCAGCTTAGTCCCTTTATTAATCAGGGGTCGCTACAACTAAATGAACGGCAACATATCCAGCATATGTTTTACGCAGCGAATGCCCTTCCAGCTGCAACCCATCCCTGGCAAACATCCATACACTTTTATTCACTCACACACATGGTATGGACAAATTTAGCTTATTAATTAATTAATTAATTAATTAATTAATTAACCTATAGCACATGTGTTTGGATTTGTGGGGGAAACCGGAGCACACGGAGGAAACCCACGCGATCATGGGGAAAACATGCAAACTCCACACAGAAATGCCAACTGGCCGAGCCGAGACTCAAACCAGCGACCTTTTTGCTGTGAGGTGACAGCACTACCCACTGCGCCATCGCGACACCCCTAATTTTGAATTTATTTATTCATTTATTTGGCCTAGTCCCTTTATTAATCTCCCTTTTTAATCTTAATTATCCACCAACTTATCCAGCATATGGTTTTACGCAGCGGATGCCCTTCCAGCCGCAGCCCATCACTGGGAAACATCCATACACACTCATTCATACACACACTCATATACTACAGTCAATTTCAGCATACACAATTCACCTGTATCACATGTCTTTGGGCTTGTGAGGAAAACTGGAGCGGCGGAACACCCGGAGAAAACCCTAGCCAACACGCAAACTCCACACAGTAATGCCAACTGACCCAGCCGAGGCTCGAACCAGCGACCTTCTTGCTGTGAGACATACCCATTGAACCGTTTCCCCCCCACTTTGAATTTAAGAAACGTAATTGATTTCTTTCCTAGAAGCTAACAGTCTTCAAAAAAGAAAAAAAAAGAAAAAAGAAAACAGTCTTTAAAATTCTCTTTGCCCCTGACAGTGATCCTCTTCTTGCTGATTTGGGGTACTGAACCTTAAAGTTGGATGCCACCCGCCATAAAACAACAAGGAAGAAAAAGAAAAAGAAGAAGCATAGGGCATACCAGACTGAATGATGCACTGTTTTTAATTGGTGTACTTGAGAATGGATTATGTGAATCTTGTAATGTAAAAGAAACAATCCAGCATGTAATATATGAATGTTTAAAATACAGAGAAGAAAGAAAGGAACTAATTGAATATCTTTAGGAGAAAGGAAAGGAAGATAAAGATATAGGATACCTACTGGGGTATGAGTTTAATTATGACCATTTAGGATAAATGATTCTAATAGATTTTTTATATAATACAGGTTTAGATAAAAGGATATAGTAAAATATAACTAACAGTAATGTAACTAATAATAATATAACTAAAATATAAGTCATGTAAGTAAATAAAATTGGTGCTATGATACAATTCTGGGGACTAAGGAATTCAGTATTCCAGGGGAGGAGCTGAACACGCAACGTCAACCGGTACCTGGATTCTGAGGGCAGAGCAATAACAGAATCTGGTTGCACAACTGGCACAGTAGGTGGCGATATGTACAAAGAATACAAGTCGCCAAAAAACTAAGAAGAAGAAAAAGAAAAATTTATTATATTTCTTAAAGGTCACTGGTTTAGTAAATAGGATATAGAGTTTATTATGGATATTTAAGGTAAGAAAAGAGTAAAAAGAGGAGAGGGGAATATAAAATGAGAGGGTACTGCAATTATTTCAGTCCAAATCCACTCCACACTCCAGTACAGAAGGGGCTGCAATGCACCATTAAAGTTGGATGCCAACCGCCGTTAAACATCAATGAAGAAGAAGAAGAAGAAGAAGAAGAAGAAAAAAGCAGAAGAAGAAAAAGAAGAGACCGCCATTAAAGTGTTATGTGTTCCGCTGTTATCATTAATGTATTGCAAACGTGCGTAAACTTTAAGAAACGTGGTAAATGTTTGGCCGAACACGAGCATAACAAAGTTGGGTGAAATGGTTCTTGTCTGGAAACTGAACATCTGAAATCGTTGTTGTCAGTTGACTGGGTGTGGCTCAAACTAACGTTTAACTATTACCAAAAATAACACGTTCGAATCTTCTGAAATCTACAACAATATGAAGAACGTTTTGAGAACTGTTGTGTTTGCAGTCATCGTCTGTGGTAAGTGAAGCTTTCTTTGAATTTTTTCCCAACACTTTCGGTTTCACTTGATATTACTGGTAATCTAACATTTACTGATATCCTTGTTTACACGTTGGCTTGCGCTTAAGTTCTTGCTTATGGGGACAGAGTAGACTCAAAAGAAATTCAAGCAAAAGACACGATGTACACATGCGTTGCCAAATTCACGTGCGTTAAACAGTTATACATATTCACAAAACAATTCACGTGCACAAAATAAAAAATACACATTCATAAAATACAGTACACAAATGCAAAACAACATTAGCAAATGTATAAGAGTGTACAAAAACTTTTGAATGTTTAAAATGTGCAAGTTCATCCTGAATAAGAATGTGCAAATCCTCTTTTACTTACGACTCCCCCTGGATACGTGTGTGTGTGTGTGTTTTCAAGACGACGACTTATAATTTTCGGTGGTTGGCAACCAGCGTTTTTGGTGCATTACCACCACCCTCAGTGTGGACCAGAGGTTAGGTTTACAGACTAATCATTATTCCCCCCCCCACTTTCCTCCTTCCCACCCTTTTTTCATGCGCACACATACTTACAAACACACTTCTCACCCCTACCCCTATCTACTATTAATAATCATAATACTGTTAATAATAATAATAATACTAATAATAATAACCACCACAATACTCTTACACCTACTTTTACTTTTACTACTTCTAATACTTGGTTATATTTAACTTTCTTCAAGGGCTGCACGATTCTGGCTAAAATGAGAATCGCAATTTATTATTATTTTTTGCTTAAAATAAAGATCACGATTTTCTCACGGTTATGTAGGTGTAAAATAAAGGTAAACATGAGTGGGCTATTATTATTAATATTTCTCAAACATATGGTAAAATAACTTAATTATTAGTAGGCTTTAATGTAGATCTACTGTTGGTTAAAAGCCGCATTTTGTATAGACATGGAATGATGGATTTGAACATAGGGATTATTAGACCATTTTGTTCACAGGTAAAATGAGACATGTCATCATCAGATTCCCTCCTGCATTATATTCAACATTATAGGCTAGAGTAGATGTACTGACCCAGTAAACTTTTTTGTTTTCATCCACAACACTTTGTGTTTGGCATACAAAAACATATCAAGTGATTAATGTAATAATAACTAGGGATGCACAATATATCGGCGGCCATACTGTTATTGGCCGCCGATTCATATTGATTATAACGAGCGCGTGTGAGAGCTGTCACCATGCGCGCGCGCGCGCACACACACACACACACACACACACACACACACACACACACACACACACACACACACACACACACACACACACACACACACACACACACACACACACACACACACACACACACACACACGTTGATCTGACAGCCTTTACAGATTAACGGAGGAGAGCCTATGTGTGCCGGTCACTGAATCCAGCATAGGGGCTCACAGTGGCTGCACATTCCGTCTTTATATTATGCTCTTGTTTGTCATAAAGTCATCCGTGCTCAATGATCAGGTGTTAAATCAAAATTTGACTTTAAAGTGTGACTTTCCACATAGCTGAGCATCATGTATAAAATGTAAAGTGTTTTTGATTGTTTTATTTTTATTTTAAGTAAAGGCTTATTTAGGAGGCTTTGTTTTAATTTGCAAATGGAAGCTTTTGTTTGGTTAATTAGGGAAGAGGCTCTTAGCTTAGCTGTATAAATAATTAGATAGTACACTGAAACATCAGTGGAAGCATCCAGCAGCAGTGTCCAGTCTCCTTGCGTGAAGACTCCACTGAGCACAAACATTCACGTGGCACTACAGTAGTAAGCTTTTTTTTTTTTTTTTTTACTCTTCACACAATGTACTTGCAGTACAGGTTATGACTGAGACCTGGATTTGTCCTCTGGAACCGGTCACTCCAGTTGCATTCCACCCACACTCTCTCCTAATGAGGAGGGGAGAAGGAACTGGCCATCTCATTTATTTTCATTTTTATTTTTTATTTTTATTTTTAAACAATTTTACATAATGTACCAACAAAACAACACACACAAAGAAAAAAAAAACAAGTTAGTTGGAGTTAGATATTTTACTTAGTTTTGCTTTGGAATAATACAATCTGTGAATTACTTTAAACTGAATCAACATGTGCCTCGTGTTTATCGAGCAGCCTTGAATCCTTTCGAGGCTTTTGTTCCAGGTTTCATAAGGCACTTCTTCAGTAAATTCCTTAGTCCAGGCCTCTTTTATATAGTTTGTATTCACAGGAAGTTGAAAAGCAGTAACACAGCGTGAAACCATATGTCTAGAATTTTGGTTTACCAAAAAACATCGCTCAAATGTTTTAGATTTTGGTTTGTCCATAAAGCTTAAAATTACAGTTTGAACATTATGGCCCTATTATACACCCGGCGCAGTGTGGTGCAGGGCGCGGCGCATTAGTCTTTTGGTAGTTTCAGCTTGGCGCAGCTTGAGTCGTTTTGAGGCGTTGCACTACGCTGTTTAAATAGCAAATGCATTTGCGCTCATTTGTGCGCCCATAGGCGTTCTGGTCTAAAAAGGAAGGCGTTCTGAGGCGGACCGCTGGCGCGTTGCTATTTTGAGAAACTATAATAGATTTTTCATTAGACCAAAACTAACCCGGTCTAAACTCCGGCGCAGAGTTGCGCCTCGCTTACACACTGCTTAATACGCACAAGAGAGCAATAGGCAAATATCTACACATATAAAAACGTTTAAATATTAAGGATATATATATATATATATATATATATATATATATATATATATATATATATATATATATATATATATATATATATATATAGGTATATATATGTATAGATATAGAATATAAATATAGATTATAATATTTCAAAACCTATTATTTTCTAGCCTATATAAATATAAAAAATAACTGCTTTTATGTCTTCTTCATCTCGGGAGGCTTTTTCAGTTCATTCATAACAATTTGCTTTTGTATAATGTTATTATTATTAGCAGTATTATTTATTATATCCATATTTATATTTGTTTTATTAAAAACAAGCTTAGATTTGCCCACATGTCTGGTTTTAGACCATATGGGGCACAGCATGTGTTTTAGGATATAACTCAGGTTTTTGAGCACATTTTGTAATTATTATTCATTTAT